AAAATATAAAAAATATAAAAATATAAAAAATATAAAAAATATAAAAAATGTAAAAAAATAGAAGAAAAATTAAAAAATTATAAAAAAATAAAACAAAGATGAAACCACAGAAAATACAAAAATAAAAGGATACAAAAAAAACAATAAAAAAAAATATAAAAAAGATAAAAAATAATAAAGAATTAAATAAAAAAGGTTTATAAAAATTAAAAGAAAGTATAATAAGCTAATAGTAAAATCAAATCTATTTAAAGCAAGCCATCGGGCCATAAATACTGGTATACCAAATATATCGACTCGTTGTAGCCGCTACAACAACAACTCATGCACCACCTATCGGCATAACTGTGAAATTTCAAATCTCTAGGCCATCGGGTAGTTGGTCAAAAATTGATTGGAAGACTTGCCCCTAGAAATAAAGCTTGTAAAAAAAAAAATTTTAGTTCCTAAAAATTCAATTAAACAGTTAAACAAGTACTTTTTAAGCAAAAAACAAAACTGACTTCGATTCTCATATAAAAATTTAAGATTATCGTTAATTTCTTCATGACCCAATGATCAGGCATTTCATAATATTGTCGTTTTAAGCAAACCAACAGACTTTCAGGGCAACCATCTCCCCTGACAAAGCTTCAAAGGGCAGAGAATGTGCATTTTTTTTGCCTTACAAGAGTGTGACATTTTAAGAAACGAATATAAATACTTTTCTCACTCTTTGCCTTTAATTTAGAATCAAACACGAAAAAAGAAAGGGGTAACCAAAATGCGGCATTTTTTTGTAGAAACGAGATCACCATTAGCCAGAATTGCCCTGTTAGATAATTTGTAGAATTGCTAACCGACCACTTTTCATGGTAGAAAACCCTTACTATGAGCGGAATGCATTAATGCCTCAGTAAATTTTTACGATTTTTATTCTCTTCGTAACTAGTTTTTATCTTCCATCTTCTGAAAATTGAAATGGCCATTGTAGTATGAATAGATTTGAAAAGTTCATTCTCAGCAAGTCCGCTCACGGTTTGAATAAAAATATTTGAAATATAACTCTTTTTTTTCTTCTTTGAGGATGTAATGCCATTGCTCTGCTGCAGCTAAAACATCTGCGACGTCCGTGTCTAAAAATACACACAGCTCAGCCCTTTATGACACAAAAGTAAACCGCTAACCAGCACACTTTTTTCATATTCATATTTATACTCATATCCATTGAGTTCAAGCACCTTGCGACCACGCGGTTACCGGCTAAAATATTGTCACTAAGCTGGCGGCTTTTGGCGCTCTTCAACGCTTACTGCCCTTACCCAACCACTTGTTTGCAAACAATTGGTTGGTACTATTCTGCTGTTGACATAGAAAAAGGTAATTCATTGTAATTCAAAGCACCTTTACCCCCCAAACCACCCCATTACAATAACAGCACCAGCAAAAGCACCTATTCGGCGCAACATTATACATCCGTTCGTTGGGCTCAGCCCATTTCGGCGAATGCAAACTGTGGCTGCCGATTGGCGGGGAAAGCGAGAGGGGGAGCGAGGGGAGGTAAGTGTCATGGCAGTGTGCTGCTGTGGGGTAAGCAAAACCGGCAGACAAATTCCAATATGGGTCAAACATCATATCAACAGCAGCGACATAAACACAAACACAACAAACAACAACAACAACAATAACAAAAACAACAACAGCCCAAAGCGAGAACGTAGAAAAATAGCAATAAAGCGAGCACCAGTAGACACAAAAAAAGCGACAACAATGACAACAATACAATCAACACATTCAACACATTTCAAATGCAGCCATCGACGGCGGTGCATCTGGTACATATTTTCCATGTATTCTAGTTTATTTTATTTATTTATTTTGTTATTGTTGTTGTTGTTTTGCATATTTGTAGCGCTTGCATTTGTTGTCCGCATTGTACACTACTGTCTGCAATGGAACATTCAAGTCGCCCTCCTCTCCCCACCTTCATCATAACCACACTTTTCCATTCACCTCATCTCTACTCCACCTCCACCAACTGCCGTTTGTCCCTTACTTCTGATTAAGCATTCGCCGCTTATTTGGACTGCACTTTGCAAGCTCAGCCTCAAACCCTGCCCCCTGCCCCTCTCTCCCACTGTGTTTCTGCCAGCTTGCGTTTGGCTGGTCTCGTGTTGGTTATGGCATCGTTTTGTTGTTTTGTGTTGTGTGTTGAATCTGTGTGTGTGTGTGTGTGTGTGTGTGTGTGTGTGTGTGTGTGTGTAAATAGGCTTGTTGAGGCACCTTCTTCACCGCATTTGCAGCGGCTCGTATCGCCTCGGTATCTCGTTGAAAATTGTATTAATGCCAGATTAAGAATTCCGCTTGCAATGATGCGTTTCTGATTAAGCATTCGTTCGCGCTTTTGTTTATACAACAGCGTGCATTGCACTGTACACTGAGAAAAGTTGAAGGTTGAACTTAATTCATTGTATGTACATATGTATTTATACATATGTATGTAATGCGCATATTACTTGTTGCTAAAATTAAATATACTTTCATATGAGGAGAGGATGAAGAATGTTAGGAAACCTACAAAACTAGCGATTATGTAAAAATCGGTGCAAAAATTTCGCACAGGGATTTCTAAGAAAAAAGTTGTAGTAAAAGAAACATGTTGAAAAATCTATGCTAACCGAATTACGACTGCGTCAAAAATTGATTTCTACGAAAGTTTTTTTTATTCCGTTGACTTGGAATCTTCCATATATGTCTGTATGTGTATTAGGGTGGTCCTTAAAAATAACATCACGGGACATCCTTTTATTTTGTTCTGCGTAAATAATAGACATCTATGAAAAGTTCTAAGTTAAAAAAAAATAAAAAAATTTCTTTAAATCGCAAAAATTCGATTTTGAGCAGCTATATTTATCGATGCAAGAATTTATATGAATAAACTTTAAAAATGTGTTAAATTTATAATACTTTATTTAAAAATTTTGTAGAATCTTTTGCGATTTAAAAAAAAATAAATTTTTTCAAACCCTTCATTTTGTACGCAAAAAATTATTATTATTTTTAAGGACCACCCTAGTGTACATGCTTTCTCAATACCCCATATGAAAATTTCATAAAAAAAGTTATGTACATTTACGGAAAATTCTAAGTCAACGGAATAAAAAAAAAAACCTTTTCGACGGTTTTTCATCATTCCTCATCTTCTCCTTATAATGGCTATATTTAATTTAAGAAAACAGTCATATACTTAATGTGTAAGTATTAGGGTGCATCACCAAAAAAAGTTGCAGGGTTTCCTTCGGAATTATGTATAAACTTGATTATATTTTAAGACGTCCC